ATAGTTTAAAACAGTGCAACAGATATATATTATACAAAATAGAGATRACAAAATATACAGCCACTTCAAAATTTTCTGGACGCTGACTRATATAAATACTGATAACATATATGGTTGTTTATATTTCAATTATATACCTTAATGTGTCCTAAACTGTTGTATTTTAACATAAGTTTAGATGGATTACTATAATTTGTGGGAACTAGCGGTAAACTAGTGTGAGCTGCGTCGGTGTTTCTAAAGAAACAGTTGTGTAAAGAAGATAAGTTTAACACCGTAAAAAAGTATGGGAAATAACTTACTGACGTTTCGGATGTTAATCCTTCGTCGGAGTAAAAGACGAAGGATTAACATCCGAAACGTCAGTAAGTTATTTCCCATACTTTTTTACGGTGTTAAACTTATCTTCTTTACACAACTGTTACTATAATTTGTGATCATTTTTAGCAAGAAAAGATCAAAGGACATATAATATTACCCATAATCACCCAGTATAATGAATGGTGAGAATTTTTGTAAACGACTATAAATATACGCGCCGTAAATATACAATTTAGCTTATTTTATAATAATATAACTAATAATAATGATAAAAAGGGATAAATATCTCGATTGCCACCCGAAACAAGTTGACAATAATTTGTCAAGAAGGTCGTGCTTGATACATATATAATATATACTTTAGGAAATGATTTCTAATGTAACGTTTCTGGTGGAGCCGACGGTTTMCTGGAATGTAATATATCTGTTCTTATGTCCCAGCCAGCTGTTCTAAGAATATTTGCCAGGAAAATAAAATTTTCCTAACTAAAAAAATATAAGCCTTTTTTTACGATAAAAACGTTATATATAGGCCCTTTTTTGACCTTAAAAACGTTTGGCAGGAACAAAATTATTTTAAAAGAGGAAGGGCGCCACATTTGCTTGTGAGATTGTCAACAATCCAGCTCAAAATCCCTTTCCCAGGAAAAAAATCGTACAAGAACAGTTATTTAGAAGAAGAGACCCAGCTTTGACTCGCAATCAAGCTGTGACTATGACGCACTCAATACGTACGTTTTGGCGTCTTTAATTGTTAAAATTTTCTTAAATATAGCACATGTACCTTATTCATTTCTAATCCTTTTATTCTTTCAATGAAAATAAATTTATTTTAACTCTAACTCGATGAGACGAAATTCTTTTAAAACTAAATTAAATTTTGATATAATCAAGACTGCTAAAAATCTTACATTCACTCCACAGTCCATACTCTAGATCATTTTGAACAGGTTTGACTTGATGCTTAGTTACACAGTCCATACATTAACAACAGGAGTTTTCAAAGTAACAAAGACAGGTATCATGTTTTTGGGCCATGCTGTTTCAAGTAGCGTTTGAAATATTCTTCTTTTCTCTGTTGAACGGCTAAAGTAGAGTCGTAATAACTTGGTAAAACATCGATTAAGAACAACCTATTTTTACCGTCTCAAAATTGGTATAAATTCAGCGAAATCATCATTCATATCCCATCAACTCAAGTTCGAAACATCGAAAGGGTATAAAACGCTATGTACGTATAGCTGGTTAAACGGTTTGAAGTAAATGTGTTGACTGTAAAAAGAAAAAACATTCTGAAGAAAAATTAAGGAAACAGTATTAGCGGCGGTTCTYGTGACCAGGCTCCTGGAATTTTCACTTTTCCTGACGGCAAGGAATATGTCAATATCGAAAATATTTACAAAGAGGTAGAGCTTGCCATTCTAATTAAGAAAAGAAAGTCATTCTCAGAATACAAATTGAGGTAGGTTTACTCAATTTAATTAATTTTTCAAAAGCACTTCTTTACATTAATTTAGACTAAGCTTCAGTTACAACTTCACATTTTTAGTTAAAACTAACTTCATAACATTTTTGCTTAAGATTTGTATAAGCAATAGCATGTTTTGTAGTGGTAATTGGGATAAATACCACGCGTAATATTTCCAAATTGTTAAAAACAAAATTCCACGAGCAAAGAGTAAAATTGTGCAATTTGAAATACCACTATTCAGGATAAATACTACTCCTCTAAGCCAATTAAATTGCGCAATTTTATTCAAGCATATTATTATAAAACCTGAAATATATCGTAGGATGYAATGAAATGGATTCGGGAACAGTAACACTCAAATCGCTCAAATGAACCAACTCCACTAATTCATCATTCGACTAAAAGTAGAGCATGCATGGTATTCCAGATTAGATGTAGTCTGGGAAATAACAGAAACATCGACATTGTTTAAAATCTAAATACACTATATAGTGCTTTCTGTCTTCGACTAACTTGGTCCTTGTTAAGGCTATATCKTAAAATTTCTCGATCTTGTGCAGTCCAAAAAGTTCTAAATGTTGACGGTCAAAACGGTATTACAAACGTTTTTTCATAAATATATCAAATGTTCCAATTATCTGCATCTGCATATTGTCTGTACACGGGAAATTAAATTAGGCTACCAGCTTTATTATTAATGTGAACTTTCATTGACCAGTAAGTTTGTAGGTATTTAGACCAAGCAGACCTCAATACTTGCAGCGACTTATAACCTTCAGGTATTCCTTGTATCTTGTATAACTGAGTAACTTTACTGGAATTGTACTCTATAAAAGAGCATGAATCGTTTCATCAATTTTTAGAAAAAGAGTAAGAAAATGCTACAAGATAGACTAAAATATGTATAATGTAATTCTCGGGGTCTGAAGGTGAATATTTACATACCAATTATTCTGTATTCGTGTTTTATTTTTCACCATTACTCGTTGTATATATGTTTGCTATTAATCATTATTCTTTATGATATTTTTGATCTTTGTCATTATTCATTTTTTCTTTTTGATTTTTTTTTCATTATTCATTATTCCTTTGGAGTTTGGTTGATTMTTCATTATTCCCAGTCAATTTTGAACCGTTATTCGTTATTCAATATTCACTTTCAGACCCCGATAATTCAAAGTAGCTTTTATCTTATTTCTATTTCATATATTTAGTATATTACAATGATCACCATTCTTTTTTATGRCAGAAAATGTTTTTTCGGTGGATTGGTATCCTTTTATTGATACTGAAGCTTCATCAATGTGAAGGTATATGTGCCTATTTTAGAATTAATTTTGTATTCTGTAAGACATGGACGAATTCCTGTGTTAAGCTTGCTAATAACTATTAATATGAATGACAAATTTTAATTCAATTTATTGAAAATGTGCGCGTACTTCATGCCTTTTATTTATTAACAGATATATTATCGCCGTTAACAATTTCAAAAGAATCTGAAATCGAAAAAGGATCGTCTGTAGCCAATGAATCCTCGACATCACTGGATGTATCCCTTTCTTTGACACATTCAACGACATATCCAATTTTTTCATCAAAATATGCATCAGTTCGGAGCTTATTGATATCGTCATCATCATCACCTGTATTGCGATCGCAAACGTCATCAGCATCTACACCAATTTCATCATTTTGGTTGATGTCATCATCGATCATGTTGAAAACTGCACTGTCATTGACAATTACATCGTCATCAATTGAAATACCAGTTTCTCCTCTACCATCGCCATTGCTTGCGTCGCCGTCATTGTCTTCTTCGAAATCATTACCTTTATCAAACTTATGGCTWTCAGCAAAATCGTCCCAATCGTTATCATATTATCAGAATTCATTAGAATTAATAACATCTAATAACGCACTGCCCACGCCATTCCMAATACTACAGTTATCAACAGCATCATCATTTAAATCRTCATCAACCATAGCATCGCCATGGCAATCATCGTCTTTKTTGTCATYWGCATTGCAGTCATCATTATCATATCCGTCCTTCATGGTATCATCATTTCAATTATCAACATCGCCATCKTTATCGTCATTAGCTCCTCATTCAACACCATCATCTCAATTTACAACGCCATCGTCWTTGCTAATAAAGTATACCRTATCATCAACATTATTTCAATCATCTCAATCATTTCCATCTCCATTGTTGCCTTTACTTTCATCATCAGCAGGAGCATCGTCCCACTCGACATCATCTCAATCATCAACATTAAAATCACCACCAACATCAATCTTCATCACTTCCTATCATTCTTCTTCATCGTCTTTACAACCATATCAACCTTCAAATACATCATCGTTATCATCATCTTCACAACCAACATCAGCATCTGTAAAGCCTTTGTCGCTATCACTCTCACTATCATCGACATTTTTGTTGTCGGAAACATCACWTTCATCGTCATCATCTATTACACACTCAACAGCGATTCCATCCACATTATCACATTCATTGGTATCAGCGTTTCAATCCTCAGAAGCTGGTATATCATCAACAACAATATCGTCATCTTTGTCTCTATCATTACTGGTCAAAACGTCCTCAAGAACTTCGTCTCCAGCATCTTCTTTGTCTTCAAAATATCCATCGCCACCGATAACACTTGCCCCATCAGCAGATCGATCTATAGCAGCATCAGCACCCTTATCGTCATCAGAGCATTTATCTTCATTGCTACATCCATCGGCCACCACTTTAACCTCGTCTTTGGCATTTTCACCTCCTTCCCTAACCATACCATCATGGTCATCACCATCGTCAACACCATTTGTATCTTCAATTTCATCAGTTGGTCCTTTATTCCAAGAATTTTTRCCTTCAACAAAATTGACACTCGCTTCTACCTCAACATCACTTACTSTATTGTCATCAGCATCGCCACCATCATTGCCTATATTTTCGAATGTATTGCCATTTTCAACAGCATCTTCTTCAATTCCACTATTACGGTCTTTCTCTTCAAGATTACCCTTGTTGTCAACGGYTTTGTTATCATCAGCTCGATCGTCTTCACCTTTTCTAACTTTAGCAACTCCATTGCCATCTTCATCTAAGTCGAGCTCACCAGAATCTACCTGGCTCACATCACCTCAATCATTGTCATTTATATGGACATCATCATCTCCTTCGCAAKCCGAGCTTATGTTATCATCTTCATCTAAGTTGTTATCGTCGCCACCGTTGGCATCAAAGTCGCAATTGAAATCGTCATTGACATTGTCATCAAAGTTTTTTTCGTCATTTCCATCTTCGTCAGAATCTTTACATTCATCACAATTGTTGTCAACTTCTACATTGCTACAACCGTTTATCTCTCCCTCACCATTTTCAACCACAATATTTTTTGGAGCTCGATTGTCAACGTCAGCAACAACATCGACATTAGCTTATTCATCGTCATTTACACCTCAATCTTTTCCACCATATTCCATAAAATCAACATATCAATCTCCGTCAGTACTGTCCAAGTCATCATCGCTGTCTCAATCATCATTATATATCCAAAAAATAGCATTGCCTTCATTGTTATCAACATTATCATCTCCATCATTAGTGTATGCGTCCTCATCAGCAACTGCATCATCGGTAGCATCTTTGTCGCCATCATCATCTACGTCGTCAACATTATCACTAGCAATGCCATCACCATCAGCATCTCCATCAGCACAAGCATATATGACATCATTACTAACATCTGTGATATCGGCGAAATCTATGTCACCATCAGTACGTCCATCATCAATAATATCTCTATTGCCATCAGCAGTTCAAGTTTCAACATCCGCAAAATCAATTAAACTTACATCGACACCAATACTTCCATCAGTTATATCCCCATCATCGATATTAACAAGTCCATTATCGGATCAATCGGNTCAGTATCTTCATTATCAGGAGCGTCTAAACCATTATCAGTATCTCCTTTATCATCATCGGTCACCTTATTAACATCAACATCATTAGAAAAATATGTGCCATCATCAGCACCTCTAACATCAGTAGCATCAATATCGCCATCAGCGAATCTATCAACAGTGCAATATACGTCAAAATTAGGATCTTCAAAGTTGTCACAGSTAGAAAATTCTTCTGCTTTAGAATCCGTGTCGTCATCAGCAGCTCCRTCAACATTATTTGAYAYATCAAAAGCAACGATGTCAAAACTCTCATCTATTTCGTCAATAAGAAATCGATCAATACTAACAACTAATTCATTGTTGTTGTTATCATCTAATCCAGCAGCAGCATCCACAACCATGTTGGCATTTTCGTGGTCACTAGAAAATCCCTCTTCAGATAAATTTGTTTTATCATCAGAAGCTCCATTATCAGGAACATCAGCAGCTTTAGAAACATTTCGGTCGTCATTAGCATCTTTACCAGTAGAATCCACTTTAGCATCTGTTTCGCAATCAACAATTCTACCATCACCAGCTTCTACTTCCCTTTTCGCAACTATGTGGACATTATCTGCTCCGTCATTAGTAGTATCTGCATCATTAGAGACATCAGATACTTCATTATCAGCAAACGCTGTATCAATATCCGTCAATTTATCAACGTTGGCATCATCAGAAACATCTTTGCCAACAACAACAGCTCCAACATCAGTAGTAACTRCAACATCAATAAAATATCTGTTATCATCGTCAATCCCATTCACAGTAGCGTCATTAGTAGAATCGAAATCAAAACATCCATCGTCAGTAGCGTCTAAGTCATTGACAGAATCTGTTTTGTCGTCACCAACTCCATTTTCCACTGYATCGATGCCTTTAGTAAAATTTGTTTCGTCATCAGCATCTCCATTGTCAGCATTTTCAACGTCATTAGTAGARTCGATTTCAACGTCACCAAATCCAAAGTCAGTAGAATCTACGTCATTATTAGAATCTTTTTCGTCATCAGTAACTCCATCGTCCGTAGCTTTTACGGTATTAGTAGCATCTTTGTCATCAACAACTCCCTCGTCATCTGTATCTACATCATTAGYAGAATCTACGTCGTCGTCAGCAACTCCATTTTCAGCAGCATTTGCGTCATTAGATAAATCTGTTTCATCGTCCGCAAGCCCATCGTCAGCAGGCACTACGTCATTATTAGTAGAATCGGTTTCATCTTTACCAACTCCAACGTTAGTAGCGTATTCGTCATTATTAGGATCTGTTTTATTTTCAGCAAGTCCACTGTCAGCAGCCTCTACATCATTAGTAGTATCTATGTCGTCATCAACTCTCTCGTCAGCAGCCTCTTCATCATTAGTAAAATC